TGTGTGTGTGTGTGTGTTGTTGTTGTTGTTGTTGTTGTTGTTGTTGTTGTTGTTGTTGTTGTTGTTGTTGTTGTTGTTGTTGTTGTTGTTGTTGTTGTTGCTGCTGCTGCTGCTGCTGTAGGGCTGTACGTGATATGTTGTGGTGGAAGCTGGTTGCTGAGAGGTGAGAGGAGGAGTGCTCAAAGTCGGATAGCGCGCGACTGGTGTGCATGTCAAACAGCTGCCCCGTCAGCGTTGACACCTCGGCATCCTTCTCCCTCAACAGTGACACGTGATCGTTCTCGCGTGTCTTCGCCTCCTGCAGCTGCGACCGCGCACGCTGCAGCTCCTCGAGTGCCCGCTCAAGATCGTTGGACTTGTCCGTGAGCAGTGAGCTGAGGTTTGCGATTGTGTCCTCCATCTCAGATGACTTGGTCTGCGTCTTTGCCAGTGCAGTCTCCAGCGACACCTTTTCGTGCCGCGCAAACCGCTTCGTTGCGCTCTGCCGCTGCTCCGATGTGATGCGCTCTCCATCAATGATATCCAGTGCCGGCAGTTCGTAGGTGGCATAGTCCAGGTAGTGGCCGTGGCAGAAGGGGTTGCCGTGCAACGTGAGCACGGACAGGCTGGCCAACGCTGCAAGATGCTTCAGATCAGACAGGTTTGCCAGCTCGTTTCGTGCAAGGCGCAGCTCCCTAGATGTTATGTGTGGGCATGTGTGCATATGGTTGTGTGTGTGTGTGTGTGAGTTGGATGAGAAACGCGGTTGCACCAAGTTTTATGTGTATGCGCGCATTTAAATGTGTGCCTGAGGTCACAAATGGCAGTAACTGAACCCCTGCCCTTCCACACACACACACACACACACACACACACACACACACACACACACACACACACACACACACACACACACACTCACTCACTCACTCACTCACTCACACATGCCGAACAACTGACCTGAGAAGGCGAAGCGCTTTGATGCCTTCTGGCAGGGTTGTGAGGTGGTTCAACTCAATGTCCAGCACACGCAAGGATGTGAGGCAGAGGATGCTTGTGATGGAGTGGAGGCGGTTGCGCGAGAGATCCAACACCTCCAAGTGTACGAGCGGTGCCACTTCCTCCCGGCTGATGTTCTCAATCACGTTTGAGGACAGATCAAGCTCCTTCAGGCTCTTCGCCTCCTTCAGCTTTTCCACATACTGTCACGTGGTGTGTATGTATGTGTGAGTGTGTATGTGTGTATGTATGTAGGAAGCAAAGTTGAGAATGAAACCTCGTGTAACACGAATGTGTTTGAGCAAGCAAATGTCACACATGCACACACATGCACACACATGCACACACATGCACGCACGCACACACATATGCACACACATGCACGCACGCACACACATATGCACACACATGCACACAAACATGCAAGTGCACACATGCAAGTATGCACCTTGATCTTTCCGCGGGGAAACGTGCGACCGCTCAAGTTGAGCTGGGTGGCCTCTGCCAGGCTTGTGTCCTTGAGTCGCTGGGCCAGTAGCCGCGGCGTGATGTACACGAGCGGTGCCGCCGCCGCAGACCTCTGCCCAGCCGACCCTGGCGCTGACCCAGTCGTTGTCGCAGGTGGTGTTGCTGTATTGGACGGCACACCACTGCCCCTGCCACCGCCATCGCGATGTGCTGGCGTGAACGACGACGACATCACCACACACAGGCACACAAGACTTACTACTGCTGCTGCTGCTGCTGCTGTCTGTTGCGAGGGCGCTCGCTCGCTTGTGTTTGGGGGTGGTTGTGCAGCCGCCTCAGTTTTGAATTTCGCTGCTGAAAACGGTCAGCGGCCTTGGCCAAATCAACCAAAGATACAGCAAATCGTCATTAATGCCATCACAAGCGAAGCAACAACAACAAGAAGAGGAAAGCACCAAGTCAAAGAAAACAACCGCGCACCTCAAGCGTAACCCACAGGCATCGAGCACGCGTTGACGGTGTCCACTCGATCTGCAAGTCGTGTCGACGCCGTCATCAAGATGAGCCAGCAGAGTTGGAAGCAACAGCAGCAGCATGCTCAGCAACTGCAGGATGCTGTGAACGCATATTGGGTTGCACCAGAGGCGGACAGATCCACAGCCGTGCAGGGGGTGTGCCGCGTGTTTGAGACAGTCCTGGCCGACACGGGCTTTCCAGGCTTGAAACACCTCGTCGACACAGAGCTCAAATGGTCCCACCACTTTGCGACGCTGGTGTTGGATTGTGTGCAGTACCTGGGCGACGCCCTCATGCAAGAAGAGAAGATCGCTGGGAGGCGCCTTTCGACCAAGAAGAAGGGAAAGAAGGAGCCCCAGCGTGTCGATCACAACAACGGCAGCGAAGATGCCACCTCCACCACTACCACTACCACTAAAACTACCACTACCACTACCACAGCAGCGAACCACCAACCCGCCAGAACTGCCACCGTCACTGCTGCTGTGCCTACGCCTGCCGACGACACCTCAACCAAGGTTGTTGCCCGCCCTGCTGAGCCACAACAGCTTAGCGACACTGGCTCGACAACCCCCAAGCCTGCCCATGGCGACAACCACAACGACAACGACAGCATCAACGCAACGGCTGCTGCCACCACCACCACCACCACCACCAGCAGCAGCAGCGTCACGAACGCCGACACCAACGCCGACACCACCAGCGCCAAAGCAACAGCTGATACCATGGTCGACAAGGACGATGCCAACGCCGCCAGCAGCGCCAGTAGTGCCAACACCCAGGACAAGAAGGAAAAGAGGAAAAAGAAGAAAAAGAAGAAAAAGAACAAGAAGAGCAAGGAGGCTGACAAGGTGCTACAGAGCAAGATCCAGGTGTGCCACGCCCTGCTCAGCTCACTCAGCGGCGCACACATCACGCCGCAAGCCAAGGAGAGCGCCGTGGTGCTGTGTGTCGCCGGCCTCCGCACGAAGATGCTTGACCCAACGCTGATTGTGCGCATCGTGTCGACCTTTGGCGTGGCCCTCCCGCGTGACGTCGTGGCGGCGTTTGTGGCAGACAAGATTGGCGCGCGCCTGTCGCCAGAGGACGGCACGGTGCTGAAGCTCTTTGACCCAACATCGACCCGCCCCAAGCACGTGAGCGTTGCCGTGCGCCTCATGCTAGAGCTGGACATGGTGGACGCCATCGATCCATATGCGGTCATGTACCGGCTGGTGCAGCTTGATGTGTGGCCGCACCTCCAGACGTACGCTCGCGCCGTGGCCAGCAACAACCAGGCAGGGAAGGTGGAGCGCATTGTGAACATGCTGTACGCACGTGACCGGGAGCGCATGGCGTTCAAGCTCATCGACGCCGCCAACCTGCACGAGCGCTTCCCCAACGCACGCGAGCGCTACTGCCGCAACAAGATTGAGCACTTTGTCAGCAAGAACCTGTTTGACCTTGCAGCGGTGGCGGCGACAGGCAACATTGACCTCCGCACGTACATGATCGACATGCTGGTGCAGCGCGGGCACATTGGAAAGGCGCACGACTACTGCCGCATGTGGGGCCTGGAGAGCGACTGCAACATTGATGACGATAAGCTCAAGGCCTTTCACATTCGCCGCGCTCGGGAGTTCCTAACCCTGCCACAGCATCTGTACGACAGCCTGCTGTTTGTGCAGGATGCAGCGGGGCTGGCTGCTGCACGTGAGGTGCTGTTGCGGCCGTGGCCAGACGCGCGCGTGGCGCTGGTTGGACTCGACTGCGAGTGGCGGCCCGTGCTGCCGTCGTGGGCACAGCCGGATGGCCTGCGCAGGCGTAGTCGCAGGCACGACAGCGACAGGAGCAACAAGCATGGTGATGGTGCCAGTGGTGGTGGTGCTGCTGATGATGATGTTGATGATGACGATGGTGATGTTGATGTTGCTGATGATGTTGATGATGTTGCTGATGGTGAGGGGACGACTGTTGAGGATGGTGGTGAGGGCAGTGGCAAGCATGATAACAACGCAAATGATGACAAGGACAACAACAACAACAACAACAACAACAACAACAACAACAACGATGACGATAACAACAACAACAACAACAACAACAACAACAACAACAACAACAACAATAACCACGCGACCACCAGCGGCAAGGGCAGCTCGCCTTCCAGTGACAAAGCGCGACACCACAAGGAAGGGGAGGGGAAACAGAAGCAGCGCGTGTCGATTCTGCAGATTGCACGACACGATGCGCTAGTCATCCTGGACATGCTGGCATTGGAGCCGGCGCACTTCCACGCGTTTGTGACTGACCTGTTTGCAGACCCAGCCATCATCAAGGTTGGGTTTGCGTTTGACGGCGACATGAAGATGTTGCGCAAGACATTTCCCGACGCGGAATGCTTCTCCACCCTCCGATCGCTGCTGGACTTGCAGTCCTTTCGTCATGCGCTGACGTCAGCGGGTCCCAAGTCGGGCGGCCTGAAGGAGCTCGTGCGCCACTTCATGCACAAACCGCTGGACAAGACGGAGCAGATGTCCAACTGGAACCGGCGTCCGCTCACGCCATCACAGCTGCACTACGCCGCCCTGGACGCGCACGTGTGCGTTTCGCTTGCAGAGCGGATGCTGCAGGCATTGGCGACCCGGACTGGCGGTCATGACGGCAGTGCTGGTGTGGTGGCAGGAGAGGTGGTGGAGGGTGATGACGAGGGTAAGGAGGAACAGCAGTATGAGGGTAAGGAAGAGACGGGTGAAAGGGGTGTCGGTGTGGAGGGTGGGAAGCCCGGGAGCGCTGCGATGGAGAAAGAAGAGGACACAAGCGCAACCTCCCAAGATGAAGGCAGAGAGCCCGACACTATCACGGAGCAACAACACCAGCAGCAGCAGGAGCAGCATCAGCAGCAGCAGCAGCAGCAGCAGCAGCCAACACACTCGCTGCATGCCCTGGCGAAACAGCATGTTGTTGATGTGCACGCGGTGAGTGAAGAGCAGGAGAAGGCGCAAAAGGCAGCGGCAACGGCCCACCAGAAGACAAAGAAGAAGCAGAAGAAACAGTTCAAAGCGAAACGGGGCGCGGTGCCAGAGCATGCGCGTGGTGGTGCTGGCGGTGAAGAGGTGGCAGCAGGTGGTGTTGGCGGGTACGCTGGCCCCAAGACGAACGGGGTGCTGCTGCGGTTGCTGCAGAAGTACCAGGAGTCGTGCTGCCTGCCTGCGCTGGAGGTGACGGCGCGTCTGCCGCGCTCGGCTCCAAAGGCTGCCCTGCACGACGTGAAGCGCAAGGGCCGGGAGGGCCGGGAGGAGGACTGGGTGCCTGCATGCAAATGGCAGCCGCCGCCACACGCTGACGACGACCTTGACCAGCCGCTGACGTCGCGGGAGCTGGCGGCGGTGCTGGTGGGCGTTGGGCTGGACCCGAGCGAGTGTCTTCGCCCTGCAGCCGAAGTTGACGCTGCAATGACAGCAGCGAGCAGGGGCGTTGGTGGCACCGGTGGTGGTGTTGGTGATGTTGAGAGTGGCGGTGATGATGGCGGTGGTGGCGAAGAGGAGGCCGTCACGCACGAGCAAGCAGTGACAACGGAACAACAACAACAACAACAACAACAACAACAACAACAACAACAACAACAACAACAACAACAACAACAACAACAACAGCAGCAGCAGCAGCAGCAGCAGCAGCAGCAGCAGCAGCAGCAGCAGCAGCAGCAGCAGCAGCAGCAAGAAGGCCCAAAGTGGCACCATGTGAAGAGCCTGGCGTTCAATGTGCAGGGCGTGCCGGTCATGTTTCTGCTGGAAGCGGAGGTGTCGGTGAACAAGTCCACGGTGGCACAGGATGTGGGCGTGACACGCCACGCCGTGCTGCTGGCCACCCCTGACGATTGCGTGCGGGTGTTTGGATACTTACCGGGAACCATGCCACCCTTTGGGCATCGCCAGGTCTTCCCCGTTGTCATTGACACGCCCCTCGCCAAGAAGCACCCGGACGACATGTGCGTGTTTGGGGGCGGCAACCTGCACACGCGGCTTGTGCTGCCACTGCGCACGCTGCTCGACATTGCGCAACCGACGGTGTTCCCGCTGTCGGAGTCGCCAAAGCAGCTGTCGCTGTACGAGCCCGGCATGCCATTGCGGTTCATCGCCGACAAGACGCTCTCCCGCCTGGTGCGATGGCTGCGGTGCGCGGGCGTGGACATTGTCATGTGCCGGGAGCACGGGTGCGGCAACCTGATTCAGGCGGCGCACGAGACTGGCCGCATTGTGCTGACGTGCAGTCCAAAGTACGCGCAGCGGCTGCACCACGTGCGGCACTACCTGTGCTCGGAGCGCAGCGTCCAGGCGCAGATGCAGGAGGTCGTGTCGCACTTCCAGCTGGTGGTGGACGGCAGCACGTTTCTGAGCCGCTGCACCAAGTGCAACAGCCGGTTTGAGCACGTGGCCCCCGAGCAAGTGCGCGATGTTGTCCCCGCAGGAGTGCTGAAGAAGGTGCACGACTACTGGCGGTGTCTTGGGTGCAGGCAGGTGGTGTGGCAGGGGCAGCAGTATGCCAAGGTGAAGCAGATGTTCCGCGAGTTTTTCGGCCCACTCGCCCACGCCCTCGACAGCGACAAGGAGGGGGACGCGGATGGTCATGGTGGCGATGGTGGTGGAGAGAAAGGGGGTGTTGAGGGGGGGAGTGCTGATGGTGTTGGTGACGGCGATGGTGCTGATGGTCGTGAGGGTCGTGATGATGGTGATGGTGAGGGTGAGGGTGGTGGTAATGGCGGTGCTCATGGTGATGGTGTTGGGGAGGACGAGACAACAGGGGAAGAGATGATGGCGTCGCTGTCATTGCGCTGACACGTGTGGATGTGTAGCTTGCGCTCAAGGCACGTGACTGTGTGTGTGTGTGTGTGTGTGTGTGTGTGTGTGTGTGTGTGTGTGTGTGTGTGTGTGTGTGTGTGTGTGTGTGTGTGTGTGTGTGTGTGTGTGTGTGTGTGTGTGTGTGTGTGTGTGCAGCTTGCTTTCAATTTAAACAATAAGCAAGCCACTTGTGCTGACAAATCGAAAGCACCCCACATCGCTTGACGCTGACACGATCCAAGATGGCTGAGAAGCAGGGCTTTGACTTTGCCATCATCCCGTCCAACACGACGTCGTACGTGTTGCGGGTGCAGCCAGGGCAGGAGATTGTGGGCGCGCTGACGTGGTTTGCCAAGAGAGCCCGCATGCGCGCAGGGTTTGTTCAGACATGCGTTGGCAGCGTGTCGGAGGCCGTGATTCGCATGGCAAGCGCCACCGCAGACACTGATCAAGCCAATCATGTAAGCACTGTGCCTGTGTGTGTGTGTGTGTGTGTGTGTGTGTGTGTGTGCCTGTGTGTGTGTGTGCGCCTGTGTGTGATGTCTGTCTGTGTGTGCCTGTGTGCCTGTGTGTGTGTGTGTGATGTCTGTGTGTGTGTGTGTGTGTGTGTCTGTCTGTCTGTCTGTCTTTCTGTCTTTCTGTCTTTCTGTCTGCCTGTCTGTCTGTCTGTCTGTCTGTTTATCTGTGATTGAGTGGACTCACGTGTATGCGATGGATCATCACCACAACGTTCGCTGCCATTGCTGCTTCTCATGACCGCACCACTGCCACGCACCTCTCTCCCCGTATACACACGCACACATGACGCTAGATCAAGCGTGTTGAGGGGTGTCATGAGATTGTGTCGCTTGTTGGAACACTGGCAGTGGACGAGGACCTGTCATACAAACAGCACTTGCACGTGTGCTTGTCGGACAAGGATGGCAACACGATCGGAGGGCACGTCATCTCCCTCAAGGTGTTCACAACAGCCGAGATTGTGCTTGGGGAGTGCAAGCAGCTCGTCTTCTCGCGACCGCATGACCCTCAAACAGGATACGGCGAGCTGCATGTCGGCGCACGCGATCCTGATGGCCTCGACTCTACAGCGCACGCCCCACCCTCTCCCAAGAAGCCCAAGGAAGCCTGACCTGTGCCATGTGTGATGTCTGTGTGCGTGTGTGTGTGTGTGTGTGTGTGTGTGTGTGTGTGTGTGTGTGTGTGTGTGTGTGTGTGTGTGAGTGTGTGTGTGTGTGTGTGTGTGTGTGTGTGTGTGTGTGTGTGTGTGTGTGTGTGTGTGTGTGTGTGTGTGTCGGTCTGTCCGTCTGTCTGACTTATGCCTGTCTGTCTGTCCGTCTGTCTGACTTATGCCTGTCTGTCTGTCCGTCTGTCTGACTTATGCCTGTCTGTCTGTTCTGCTCGCCACTGCCTGTGTGAGCGCGTGTGCTCCACTTCTCCATCACTTCCAACCCCTCCCCCCCTCCCGCGCTTCCTGTGCCTCGGCTTCTTGTGCTATCGTTGACCGTACTCCAGCCACTGCTCGTTTACTTTGTCTCCTTGAACATGCGTTCATACACCTTCTTATCCTGCATGAAGCCAGTTGCACAACACATGTACACGAACAACCGAGGTGCAAGCATCCATGCATGCATGCACGCAGGCCGTGTGAGTGCCGTTGCCGTTGATGCAGAGAGCACAATGTCAGCGAGCATGCACGCACGCGCATCAGCAAGCACACACGCACGCACGAATGCACGTTTGCAGACACGCACACACATATACGCAAGCACCCACGCACACATACGCACACACATGCGTGCAAGCATCAAGCCTCATCACCATCAGCGCACCCACCTGCTTGTCCTGGTCCGCCTTTGCCTGCTTCACCCGCTCAATCGCGCTCACAAACGACGCGCGCAGCCCTTCGCCTGTACAGAGATCGAGAAAGTGTGTGAATGCGTGAATGTGAGGGAGGGAGGGAGGTATACCCACGCACAGCCACAGCCACAGCCACAGCCACAGCCACAGCCACAGCCACAGGGGAGCAGCGTGCATGATGTGCTCACTTGATTCGTCGGAGTTGTGCAGTGCGGCCTCGTAGTCCTGCAACGCATCGTCAAAGTCGCCTGTGCAACGGGGAGTGGGCGGATGCCGTCAGCGCCAGCCACAATCACACACACGTAGTCACATGGACACATGCTTACATGGTCACATGGTCACGTGTTCGCACGCTCATGTTCACTCATCCACACCACATATTCACCAGACACCATCCACGCCTATCACAGAATCGTATTCACACCACCACCACATATTCACACCACCACCACCACCGCCACAGCTGACCGAGGGCCTGGTGCGCCTTTGCGCGGCGGAAGTATGCCTTGACGAGCGTGGCGTCCTGCTGCAGCAGCTCTGTGCATATCCCAACAACATCCCGGAACTTGCGCTGGCGCAGCTGGCACGCGGCAATGTTCAGGCAGATGGGGATCTTGAGGGCCCGCGACTGCGCCTGATGGCGGTGAATGTGGGGGATAGTGAGAGTGGTGGTGGTGGTGATGATGAGAGTGATGGCGGTGCTGGTGAGGATGGCTCCACGTGATTGACTGCAATGAACAAACACGTGTTGCTTCAACCACAACAGCGTTGCGTATCTTCGTACAAAAACGAGCACACGCACACACACACACACACATCATAGGTGCACAAACACAAACACACACACAAACACACACACAAACACAAACACAAACACAAACACACAAACACACAAACACACAAACACAAACACAAACACAAGCAAACGACGCGTGTGCAGCACCTTGATCTCTGGAGCAAACCGAAAGTCCTCGGCGAGGAGGGTGAGGCAGTCTGAGTAGCAGGTGAGGGCAGCCTCCATGTTGCCCTGCTTGAAGAAATCGTTGCCAATCGTCTTGATTTCGCCTGCCCGCTCAACGCGCTTCAAGGGATCAAGCGACGCTGCAGACGTGGACAGATCCTGTCGTGGGCGTCGTCGTAGTCGTGTTGGTGGTGGACGTGATGGGCGTGGTGTTGGTGGTGACGACCGTGGTGTGAGGGTGGAGGGAAGTGACATGGACGTACGACACGTGACGCACTCGACAGTGGACTGAAACGCAAACCATCCAGACAAACCACAGCAACCCTTTTCCCTTCCAAGCGCTATTTCCCTACAAACACATACTCACACACACACACACGCACGCACTCACGCACTCACGCACACACACACACACACACACGCACACACACGCACGCACGCACACACACACACACACACACACACACACACACACACACACACACACACACACACACACACACACACACACACACACAC